TAGTGGTTACCAAGGGTAGAAGGCAGAGGGAAAGGGGAAGCTTTCGTTTGTGGGGCATTTAGTTTATGCTAATGGTGATGAATATTTTAGAAAAGGATAGGAATAATGGTGGCACAACATGAAAAATGTCATCAATGTCAAAAAAAAAAAAAAATACCCTCAATTAACCAGTTTGGTGTGCAACAGGCTTAGAGATTTACCAGAAGCTCAATCCATATCTACTTTGCTGGAGGTTCCTGATTTTCACATGAAGCCAAGCAATTATCATGAATTGCCCCTATTCATTGCACCCAAGCAAAGTGTTATATTCTTGTTATAAATACCCAAATCAAGAACTATCTGTCCCAACTCTATTAATTTTTGCACAGTGAAGCCGTCACATTCTAACCAAAGTTACCACCTAAACCTCGTTCTTTTAACTTACGATGAACAATAAAGAAGTTTAATTCTTTTTATGCGATTCAGTCACTTTATAAGCTTTCCAAAGGCCTTAAAGATCAGATGTTAAAGGGGCACACTTACCCAATGTGGTTGGTTCTTAATGAAATTTCCAGTTCCCTTAGCACTTGTGTGGATTCTTGAACACGCCGCCTGAATTTCTATAATTCAAGAAAACACATTCTCACAAAACATATTTTACCAATTGCTGTAACTGCAGCTTAATTATAAGTTTAACACAACATGAAAAATAACTCTGCTTCAAAAGTGGATTATCTTACATTTTTATTTTTCGCAAATCACACAGATTTTTCTCATCATAAACATCAGCTTATGAGAAATGATTTGAGCAATTACTTATCTCATAAGCAATAAGTTTCTTATAGTTAGGTTATTATTTCCTACCCTGTATATGCAACAGCATTCATCAACATACCATGGGTTGGGGTCACCAAGACCACTCCAGGTTCAAAGATTCATTTAGGAGGACTCACAGGACTCAGCATATAGCCGTACTCACAGCTACTATTGATTACAGTGAAAGGATAACAAAGCAGAATCACAGAAAGAAAAGACAGATGAAGTAAAGTCTGGAGGAAACCAGGTAGAAGCTTCGAAGAGTACTCTTCCAGTGCAGACATAAAGACCAAACTTAATTCCCCAGCCACAAGTTGTGACAGTATATGTGAATGTGTGTACCAGCAAAGCTCATCAGAGACTCAGTGCCCAGGTTTTTTATTGGGAACTGGTCAGATAGTCACCACTCTGCCTGGAGTATAGCAAAATTCCAGACTCCAAGAAGGAATCAAATGTTGAACATAAACCATATTGTTTGCACGGTTTAGGCACAGTGAGACATTCTGAAAAGCAAATGATGAATAGTCCTGAAATCCAAGTTCCCATACGCCAGCCAAAGACCAACTCTGCAAGCAAGACTTTCTAAGGATAGCAGTCTCAGGCCCGCTATGTAACTCTTTTCTACACAACCTAACACATTCCCAAAATAAACATTCACAGTTACCTCTGTCCCCAAGTTCTCACTTGGAAGGTTCCTCCTTTGGCACACACCACCTCCCCCAATCTGGAATGCATTTCCTCATCCCCTTGCCCATCAAAATCCCACCTATCCTCCCAGCATTTCCTCAGATCTTCTTTCTTCAATTAATCCTTCTCTGTTAATAAATAAGCTCATCTCTCTATCCTCTGGACCCTAAATAATCTCCAAGACATAAAAAAGACGGATTTCACACATCAGTTATTTGATACACAGTTTTCTGCAGAAATATGTATTTCCATGACTAAAATCTCAGATGACTCTAGAAGAAGTAAATTTGATATGCGATGCCTCCTAAGAAGAGCTATATGCTGTTTGTGCTGCAGACTCAAACCACCATTAAACCCAAAACAAACAAACTCACTGCCATCGAGTCAAATCCAACTCATAACGACCCCTCCTTGAGTTTCCAAGGTGGTATCTCTACAGCAGTAGTCTGTCTGCCCAGTCTTCCGCTACGCTATTTACAGAAAAAGTGTTTTTGAGAACCCTGGCTCATGATGTCAGCACCCATCTCCCACCGCTGCCACAACTGCACCAGGAACAGAGTCACCCAGCTCAAGTTTCTGATACTGACTGTCATGGTTTGGGAGAAGAGCTTCCAAGAGCAAGCAAGAAAGGAGGAAGGCTGAAAATGAAAAATTCAGACAATGTGGTTGGGAGACCTGGTAGCCCAGTGAAGACCTGGCACACCATGCTTAGCATGAGCAGGCTCCTGTGATTTTTTCTTTTTTTGAAAGTCCCTTGCTTCTCCACCAACCCCTTCTCACCAGGGCAGTCTGTTTGCCCCCAACGCTCATGCCTGAAGACCTCCTAAGATTTTTAGGATCCAGATATAATGGGATATATAAAAGAAAAAGTATCTCTGATGAGATGAAAAAAAGAAGGTACTTCTTTCTTTTGTCAAGAAAGGCCTACGACGTGGCAGAGCCATCTATAGTTTGGAGGGACATCTAAGCCAGAGTCCCCTGGATACTAAGGACACTCAGGACAGCACTTAGAATAAAAGAGGTAAAGTATAGGATGAATGGGTAAGACATTTTCTCTCTAGCTTTTTCCTTGGAGATTAAAATTAGGAATGAAGTAGAAAGGAGTCAGTGGGAGCAGTTCTGCAGCTTGGATATAGAAGGGAAAAGAAGGGAGATAAAATATTTTTCTCTGCATTTATTAAAAAGGAGGGTAAGACTTGCGGCTTTGTACCTCAGGGAAATATTATTTCCAGCTGTTCTGGCTGCTCCAGAGAGGCTGTTCCCATGCTAGAGTCATGAGCCTGAGGCTGTTATGGACTGAACTGTGTCCCCTAAACGGTATGTTGAAGTCTTAATCTCAAATACCTGTGAACATGGCTTTGTTTGGAAACAGGATCTTTGAAGATGTTATCAGTTAACATGCGGTCATATTGGAGTAAGGTGGGTCCGAATTCTCTATGACTAATGTCTTTATAAAAGAGGAAGGACACCAACAAAAGCAGAGAGGAGACGGTCATGTGACGATGGAAGCATAGTTTGAGTAATGCTGCCACAAGCCAAAGAATGCCTGTGGCTACCAGGAGCTGGGAGGTAAATGAAAGGATCTTTTCCCAGAGCCTTCAAAGAGATATTGGCCCTGCTGACATCCTGAATTCAATATTCTAGTTTCCAGAACTGTAGTGCAATACATTTCTATTGCTGTAAACCACTCACTATAAGGTACCTTGCTACAGCAGCTCCAAGAAACTAATGCAGAGGCTAGTATGTGTGGCCTCTAGAAAACTGTTCAGAATTCTGAGCTATGCAGTCCTGTGTCAGCCCACTGAGTTCTGTCTCATCCACTGGGTTCTGTCTCATCCTCTTTTGGTCCCTTAACTCTGCCTTATGCTTCCCAGGGCAAGGCTGTCCCTTATATATATCATCAGCCACAAGCACAACCAGGACTTAACAGAGTGTAAAAAAGGTTCTGCTGAAGAGCTAAAAGATACGGATCAAAACAAAATAAGTAACACAAAATTCCATGAGGTAATAGTAATATTACAACAATAACAGCCAACATCTACTTTGTGCAACTGCATGATAATTGAAGTAAAAACTAAATTGGCTCCCCACCTCCACTCCCTTATCATCTCAGAATCTGAACAATCTTCAGCTGGACACTGGCCGAGTGAGAAAAGAAAGCCTTGGCATCCACTTCTCTAGCATATAAATAATGAGTGCTAACACTTTGCACTTCTACAATGTAACCAGAACGCTTTAAAACATTTCAAAGAGAAATCATGTGCCTGTGGGGACCAGCAGAAGGGAACCAGGTAAGGATCCATTAGCAGTCTGTACCATTCTCACTTCCCTCCCCATTAAAAAGGGGGCCAAGAGAGGCAGCTGAGCCCAGGCAGAGCTATACAATAGGTTTTGTTTTACAAAGGCAGCAGCTGAGGACCAGACTCCTTTCTTTATGGTCTGTAGCCTTTTTCCATGTTGGACATCAGCACATCCCTCATTGCAGACTAATAACCCCAATACTAAATGAGGCGGTTGGTTTGGTGAGTTCTGGTCACAGGGATATCTAATTTAGGCTATTCCTTGCCTGCCCTAGAGGGTTTCATTTTAAAACTATTTACAAGAAAATCTAAAAAGAATATGCTTAAGAAACTATTTAAAAGAGCAAATTAAGTCCTTCTATTCAATTTAAACAAAAGATTGATGAGCAAAGTATTTGAGGACTCCAGAGGCAGTTAAAGGAAGGCTGCTTGGCCTAGACTGTCTGGCTAAAATTTAAAGCCCTGGTTTGAAATTCCTTTTTTTCTCCCTCCAGCCAAAATACAGCTGAGAATCTTAAGCTCATTTTAGCTGCAAGCCATGCCTTATTCCAAACAAAATCTCCCTTTTTTCCAGGCTCTGAGCCTTATAATTATGTTGTGTGGGACAGATCATCTACTGCCAGCTCCTGACAGAAATCTTACTAAAGCAGGGGTGGGTGGTTCAACATCCATTTTCTTTTTTTCTGAGCTGAATGACTGATCTTGAAAGATGAGGCACAGACCAAACAAGGCCACTCAGGTGAATACACATGGTCCAGAGCAGTGATTTCAGTAGAAAGGTCAGCCCACTAGACCATTTTTTGCCACAGCTCTTGTTATTAAGTTATTTGGGAGGGCGTAAAATGCTTTCTGAGCAGCTTTTTTGTTGTTTTGTTTTGTTTTCTTTTCTTTTCCTTAAATCAGAAATAGCTGATCCAAAGAAGTGGGATTGTGCCAGCAGGAAGTCCACATCTTTCTCCTCACAGAATTTAGGGCCGAGAGCCTAAAAAGTGCTCTCTAATAGTTTACATTTTTTTCTCCCTTTTCTTCAGAATTTGAAAAATGTTGAGCCAATTGTTTTGGGATAGAATGTATTCTGTTCAAGGGACCAGCTATGTGGGAGGCTGAACTGAGATTTCTGTCCTGTGTACAAACATCAGCATTTCCGCCATTCTCAACTGGGAGGGGAAATGATGTGGCTAATGCTGAGGGCTCTGCTAGACAGACAAGTTTGAGGATTTCAGATACTGTTTCTAAACAGAATCTTGCTGCTCCTATGTGTATGAGTGTGACCTCCCCTTTGTTGTTGTTGTTGTTGTTATGTGCCATCCTTAGAGAGATTCCCTAATAGGAATGAATAAACAGTTATTTCATTAAGGGGGCCTTTTTTAAAAAAAAAAAAAAAAAAAAAGTCACATATGTGCCATGTTGTAAGGGGGAAAAATATACTTTAACAGGTACATTGTTAAAAGACAAGACTATGTCACATTCAAATCACATCCAGTATTGAGCCCACAGTGAAGGTCTGCAGTTCATTTTCATCAATACTGCTTTTATTTCCTCTTGTTCACATGCTCTTCTTCACAGAGTAAAGGGCCAGAACATTTCCAAAGGAAATAATAATTGTTCCCTTTTGTTTGACTTTTTTGGATAATAAGGGAAAAAGAGAAGATTTAAAAGAAACAAACAGAGCAAGAGCTCTGGAAAGAGTAGCTAACCAGGAAAATCATGCCTTTCTTTTCTGAAGTCTCATGCTGAAAACAACAGAGGGAATGTAGCTCATGATGTTTTTGTTGAGGCCTTGAAAGCAAGAGTTGCACAAGGTCAATGAAAAACAAGTGCTATCTGGTGATGAGCCCCTTTTGCTATCTTGAGCAAGGACAACGCTGCCCTGAGCCAATACTGGACCGATCTGGGCTTGCAGGGCTGTGCCAGGCTACATACTTTACCATGAGGCATTAGTGTAAATCAATTGTGTGGCTACACAAAGTAGGGCTTGTTTGTAAAAGGAGAGAAGCAGTGGAGAATGGAACCAGCTATTCTCTCCTTACCTTCTTGGGGCTGGGAGCAGAGGTTGGGGCAGGGAAACTGCTAAAAGCATCAACACAGGATGTGAGTGCACAGCTGGGATGACAAAGCCCCAGTGATTTTTCAAGGTCTCTGGAAATGCACCAAGGCATGAAAGACAAGCATTCCCTTTGCGAGGCCTGCTCTTCCAGGGGCCTAGCCACCTCTGGTCACTATGAAAAGGCATCAACTCCATGGCAATGGGTTTGGTTTTGTGGTTTGGTAACACCTCTGGAGGGGCCTCTTGGGCCTGTGTAACTGGAAATGGCAATGACTCAATCAACTTTGGGGGTACATAACTCCTTTGTATGGAAATACTTTTAAACATATCCTTGCATGAGAAGGCTGGTGTTTTCCTTTGTCTTCTTATGATGTCAGTATCCAAAGGTGATTTTCCAGGAGGCACTGGCAGAGGCTGTCATGCAGAGGAAGGAAGGCCTTCCAATGCAGGAAGATTCTGCCTATGAGCCAGGAAGCAACAACAAACAGTAAAAACCAATTCATCTTACCTTCCTGGTTACAGCTGGATCCAGATAGCCTTTTAGCTTTTGAATATATGTATGAGGAGGATTCTTCACCTGGAATCGTTCCTGCAGGGAGCACAAAGTAAAGAGAGTGAAAGCTGTGAAGACACAACACAATCAGGCCCATTCTAACTAATACTGAATATCCACAGCCCAAATACATCCATAGTGTGAATGTGGCCCTGCAAATAATCACCCATGCACTAGTTGTGCTGAATCTTTAGGTTGATGTTATTAGTTCTCAGTGATCCTATCTATGTACAACAGAACGAAACACTGTTCAAGCCATCCTCACAAATGTTGACATGCTTGAGCCCATCATCACAGCCACTGTGTCAATCCATCCCACTGAGGGTCCACCCCTTTTTCACTGACCTTCTATTTTACCAAGCATGGTATCCTTCCCCAGGGATTGGTCCATTCTGACAATATGACCAAAGTACAAGAGACAAAGTCTTGCCATTTTGCTTCTAAGGAGCATTCCAGTTGTACTTGGTCCAAGAGAGATTTGTTAGTCCTTCTAGCAGTCCATGGTACATTCCATATTCTTTGTCAACACCGCAATTCAAATGCACCAGTTCTTCTGAGGTCTTCCTTAGTCACTGTCCAGTGCTCACACGCATATGAGATGATTGAAAATACCACGGCTTGGCTCAGGCACATCTTAGTCTTCAAAATGGTATCTTTGCTCTTTAACACTTTAAAGGGGTCTTTGGCAGCAGATCTGTCCAATGTAACACATTGCCTGATTTCTTGACTGCTGCCTCCATCGGCATTGATTGTGGATCCAAGTAAAATGAAATTCTTGACAACTTCAATCTTTTCTCCATTTATCATGATGCTGCTCACTGGTCCAGTTGTGAGGATTTTTGTTTTCTTTGTGTTGAGGTACAATCTATATTGAAAGGCTGTGTTGTTATTTTTGTTATGTGCTGTTGAGTCAGAGCCAACTCATAGCGACCCCTCCTTGGGTTTCCGAGGCGGTATCACTACAGAAGTAGATTGCGCAACCTTCCTTCTGAGGAGTGGCTGGTGGGTTTGAACTGCCAGCCTTCTGGTTAGAAGTCAAGTGCCTTAAGCACTATGCTACCAGAGCTCGTAGTGAAGGCTACAGTGTTTGATTTTCATCAGTAAGTGCTTCTTCTTCACTTTCAGCAAGGAAGTTATGTTATCTGCATGTCACACGTTGTTAATTAAAGGAGATGTTTTTATCCTTACTTCACACAGGAAATAACTGACTCTCAGAGAAATTCATTACTCCCCTAGAATAACACAGCAAGTCAGTGGTAGACGTGGATTTCAATTCATTTCTGCCAACTCCAGAATCTGTATAGCTTTCTCCATAAGGCACTGCAATTCTCATTCTACAAATGATGCTTTGCTCAACCTATTTTAGATCCTCTTTCCATAAGTTTTCAGTCTGTTTCATAGTCTTTGGAGCATTTTCCACACTGGCAATCTTTCTCTTTTGAATATTTAACTTTGAAAATAGTCTTAAGTTGTTTTGATCCAAAGACTTGACTCCAATTGGATAAAACTAATGTATTTCAAAATGAGGAATGAGTATATTGCTAAGTGACAAAAGGGTATGTATGCATGGGTATCTGTGTTTGCACATGTGCATATGTGTTACTATTAATAGAGTCCTAAGGTGCCATGGTGGAGCAGTGGTTAAAGCAGTCACCTGCCAACTAAAAAGTTGGTAGTTTCAACCAACCAGCCACTCTGGAGAAAGATGTGGTAGTACACTTCCAGAAAGAGTTACAGGCTTGGAAACCATACAGAGCATTTCTACTTTCATGGGTTGTGATGAGTTGAAATTGACTCAGCAGCACTGGGCTTGGTTTGAGTGGTAAGGCAGTTCCAAAAGCATTTTGAGCACTGGTTTTGTATTACTCATTATGCTGTATTTAGGCTTCACTTGTACATAGACCAAGAGGCAGTCATTCAAAGAGAACAAGAACATGGGGATATTGCATGGTTTAAAATCAGGAAAGGTGTGCATCAGGGTTGTATCCTTTCACCATACTTATTCAAGCCATATGCTGAGCAAATAATCCAAGAAACTGGACTATATGAAGAAGAATGCAGCATCAGGATTGGAGGAAGACTCATTAACAACCTGTGACATGCAGATGACACAACCTTACTTGCAAAGATGACTTGAAGCACTTACTGATGAAGATCAAAGACTCCAGCCTTCAGTATGGATATATGTCAACATAAAGAAAACAAAAATCCTCACAACTGGACCAATAAGCAACAGCACAATAAATGGAGAAGAGACTGAAGTTGTCAAAGATTTCATTTTACTTGGCTCCACAACCAACACCCATGGATGCAGCAGTCAAAAAAAAAAAAAAAATCAAATGACATGTTGCACTGGGCAAATCTACCGCAAAAGACCTCTTTAAAAATTAAAGAGCAAAGATGTCACTTTGAAGACTAAGGTATGCTTGATCCAAGCCAAGGTATTTTCAGTAGCCTCATATGCATGGGAAAGTTGGACAATGAATAAGGAAGACCAAAGAAGAATTGATGCCTGTGAATTATGGCGTTGGTGAAGAATACTGAATATACCAGGGACTGCCAGAAGGAGGAACAGATCTTTCTATGAAGAAGTACAGCTAGAATGTTCCTCAGAAACAAGGATGGTGTGACTTTGTCTCACACATTTTGGACATATTACCAGGAGGGACCAGTCCCTAGAAAAGGATATTATGCTTGGTAAAGTAGATGGTCAGTGAAAAAGAAGCAGATCCTCAATGAAATGGACTGGCACAGAGGTCACAAAAATGGGCTCAAACACAGCAATGGTTGTGAGGATAATGCAGGATTGGCCAGTGTTTCCCTCTATTGTACATAGGGTTGCTATGAGTCGGAACTAACTTGATGGCACCTAACAAGTACAACAAACAGGTCTCATGACCTTTTGTGTATATATGCTATATATCCCACATGTGAAAAAGCTTAAATTAAAATGTCTGAAAGGAAAAACAAGGATTATTTATAGAATCAGGACAATTCTTATCAGGTCCTTTTCCTACATCCCAGAACACGTTTTCCTAGTAACTCTTTTTAATCTGCTAATTGTTTTATCCACAAAGGAATTTTTTAGTATTTCACAACTACTGACAATTGGCCAGCATGTTTAAGCACTTGTTTATCACATATAAACATGTATTTCTCCAGCACAGGGAACCACAAAATTCTTCCTCAAGTTCGGCTCACTTACAGATTTAGAAACAGTAAAGATCATTTTACTATTATGAAAAGGTCACATTATTATCAAATACATATATTTTATTTTTTAATACTTCAAAACAGGTTGTTTGTAGTAAGATAATCCTCAATATTTCTCCTTATATATGTAAGTAATCAGGATGAATTTTTAGTACATAAATTATGTCTCAATAAAGTTGAGATTAAAAAATGATCAGCCACCAGAAAAATAAATATTAGAAAAAACAGAAATGATCAGCACATTATTTCTAATTGTTCTTCTACATTTTCTATCCTGAGAGCAATTTCTAAATATAATTCACAAGTACTCAACAGCTCTAGTACATTATGTGAGTGTATAAAATCCTGTTTTTTTTAATCACCATTACTTCACCACAGATCAGACAGGATTCCCACTGCCATGGAGATGTAGGAATAGCCCAGTTGAGAGCTAAAACATTCGCACAAAGCTTTGATAAACTAACTGATAAGCTATCCAGAAACTAGTCGTTATTTACAACTTTGTGTAGAATGGCTAATATCAGAGAGATATCAGAACACAAATGAAAGTAATGCTTTTTTTAAAAATATAGTTCCAAATATCAAAATATCAAAAAATCCTATAACCACTTTATGACTAGAGACAATTCAAACTGTATTCCCTTCTGCTATTGCATGCACCACACCTACAGCTAAATATAAGGTCCTTAACTCATGAAACTCAAGAAATAGTAACTGTATTTGGCAAATGCATGATTTACTTGGGACCTATAATTTGAACTTGTGGATAGTTGCTGAGAGGCTTCTAATCTTTTGTTCTTTAAGGCAATGCCTTCCAAAGAAGAAACTTATTTATTCCTTTAAAATAACAAAAACTAGTTGAGTAGCAAAAGTAACAAAATGACCTTCCATCAGTTATTGAATCCCAGTTTTGACAAGGGTAAATGTGACTTTCTCTATTCCCTACTTAAGTGCATTGTAACTCAGAGAAACTTCTTCAAAAATACATATTCCCTGGTCCTGTGGATTATATTATATTTTGTCAGGAACTGAAATTATGGACAAAGTCTAAATTTAATAAACTCACAATATTTCATATGTACTTACCTTTTGTTGTATTTCCTCAATGCAATTTACCAAATATATTCCCAACAAAGAGAAAGTGAAGAAACCTTATGCCTTTTAACACACTAGGCACACATTAGAGAAAACTCAGCCTATATCCAGAGATTTGAATAAAACTATTATGGAAAAAGAATACAAAGTCCCAATCATTTCTCTGAAACTTGAGGTTGTTTGTGTAATCTCAAAGGGAGCTACTGTTTGAGTTAGAAACCCAGCACCTGACTCATCAAACTTTTTATATCTGTCTTCAATATAGCTACTTGAGCAACAGAAACATTTTGGGAATACTATGGAGAATTTCAGCATCTTGCCAAAACACATTTCATTTAAGTTAATATATGTTTTTCTGTAACTAGTAGAATTTTAGATTTTTCATTGAAATCTAAAACTGCCCTTGGCTGGCACAGAGTTTATCCATCAGCCTCACTTCAAAAGCTGCTTCTTAACCCACATGTTATTTTTCAACAACTAGTTATTGACTTGCTCAGTACAACTTATATGAGTAGCTCGATTAAATTAAATCATCAATTTGAGTTATATTATACAGAAATATTATTCTTATACATGAAAAAAAATTCTTTAATCATGGTGATTTGTCAACATGAATTGTTCGGCCATTTGAAAAAGCTTTTAAAATACAAAATTTCCTTCAAATGTCTAATTGAGCAGTAACACCACCACTCTGACCTCTTGCATTTATTTGTTCGTGCAATCAAAAT